CGAGTTGCTATAATTTAAGTCCTTTGTAGAAAGCAGTGTTAATCAGCATGGGTGAAGGGCACCCAGGGATCACCCTTGCCTCCAGCTCCACCCTCTGCCTTTTCCCAATGAGCATGTGTAGGTGGGAAAGCCCACCAGCATCCACAGAGCTGGTAGGCAGCAGCAGAATTGGAGCTCAGGGCAGGACAAAAGGACTCTAAACCCGGTGTCCTTGCTCTACACTGTACCACTGCTACTTCCCAATGTACCTGGTCCCTGGGACCAGAAAGAGAATGGGCTTTCAAGTGAACCAGATTGAGTCAAGTGAGCAGAGCAATTACTTTAATTTCTTGAGGCCCACATAACTTGTTTTCCTGCACAGAGTGGTCCCATCAGCCTCAGGAGATGTGGTCTCTATTTTAGACTAGGATCTTCTTACCAGCAAAGGAATACAGGACTCCATCCACATTAAAAAAAAATGTTTTCATTCAAGCAAAGCAACTTCATTTGCTTTAAGATTTGTTCATCTATTTCTGAGAGGACAGAAATGATGCAGAAACTTAACGCTCAATGCGAAGTTGGAGAATCAAAACTAAAATGTTAAAATGGAAAGAATATCTAAAGACTATGAGGGCTAAATGCTGGTGTGTGAGAGGCTGGGCAAACCAAGCAATGTGCTGGGCTGCACAGATCTGATGGGACAAAGCAGCCCGTAGAGATTTTATGTTCCTAACCTCAAACTCATGACAACAGCTAGGTGGTGACTGGCAGCTTGGAACCCAAAGTCCCTTGGCTCCTCCCCCTACCCCCCCCACCCCTAGTCCTCTGGAAGCCCAAGGTACTTCCTTGAAAGACTAGAAAAGCAGCCTCAGTTCCAGCCAGTATATATATCACACCTCACCTGTGCAATCTCAGAACAAACAACTGAGAGTCAACTTCTAAAAGTCCTATGGGAACAATAAAACTAGGAATGGGAAAAGCCATTATTCTGACCAAGACAAAGTATAAACAAGGCCCAACCATGGGCTTCTGGGTAGAGACATGAGGGGTAATGGCATTCATCTCCAAACTTGTTGGGAATAGGGCACTACCAAAAGTACCTGCCTGGGTGAGAATGTCTCCTTTAGCTATAGATGCTGCCAAACTGCTTTCTCACAGCAATGAGGGCAGCTGGGGGGAAATAAAGCAACTCAAAACCACCACTCATTTTATTTATACAAAATAAAATCCTAAATAGAAACAGGTAGATTCCGTTTTGCAAAGAACAGCTTTCCAAGAAACACAGAGCAGGCTATAGAGACAGGAGTTAAGTCAGTCACGTGAATGGCTGGTTTCAGATTGAGAAGTCACACAAATCAATAACCTATAGTCCAACCCAGGGGAAGTAGAGTGAGAACAAAATCAGTGCAAACAGCTCCTCATGGCACTGTGAGCTCAGCTCTAGCTCCACGGGGCCAGGGCCAGAGGAAGCAGAGCAGGCAGCACTGTGGCGGGCACTGTCTAAGCAACTCCAGCCTTAGAAAATACCCAGCCAGTACTGGAGATTGAAGGCCTTTCCCCCCCTGTTACACCAGTTTGCAGCACTAAGGTGGAGGGCCTGTAATCTGGGCAGTCAGGGGTAGGCAGAAAACTCATTAAACAAAGTAAGCAATGCTTCAGTGCAAATGACATTTGAGGGGTAATCATTAAGGATGAACACGAGGTTTAATTTCACTATTCTTCCCACTTTATTAAATGCTTCATAATTTAAAAAATCATAATGTTCATAATGGAAATGTAGCCAAATTAAAAAGATTTAAGTAACTTATAATTCTATCTCCTAAGAAAACTGCTTTAGTCTAGTGCTGGGACTTGAACTCAGGGCCTTGTGTTTTTATTTAGGTTTTATCTCAAAGTTGGCATTATACCACTTAAGCCACATCCCCACTTCCTACATTTTGGTAATTAATCAAAGATTAGAGTCTAATAGACTTTCTTGTCTGGGCTTGAGCCTCGGATCCCAGTCTCCACAGTAGGTAGGATTACAGGTGTGAGCCACAGCCTCCCTGCTTTAAATATGTTCCATATTTTTTTCTTTCTTTTATTTGCTAAACAGGATCATCCTGTCCATACTGTTTTATAAACTTGCTTTCCACATTCCGGCCTTAATTTGTCTCAAGTTATTATTCAAGTCATTAGCTCTAATGGCATGGTTGTCCCAGTCTGTTACAAAAAGATAGTCCCTGACAAATTCCCAATTTTTTGCTAGCATAATTAAGGCTTGTGTGGACCAGGAAAGATGACATTTATTATAAACAAATGGTTCCAAGTGACTTAGAAATGATTCCTATGTAAATATAGTGTGTAGTAGCACAAAGGAAAAGGAAAGGAGAAAAATGAAGCTGGTCGCTAGCAGACCGCATGATTCAAAGCCATCATTAACTTTCCATGCATTCCTGGTGACAAAGACCTCAGTAGAAACTTCAAATGGTATAAATCTGAAATCCACACACTCATAAAATGTTTCTCAGTCAACAATAATTTACCAGTTTCTGGCAATGAGTTGGAGAAATCCGTTAAAATCCCCTGAAATATACAATTTCAAAGGGTAGGATACTCCATCCATCTGAGATAGTATAGGGAGATTTTTCAGGCATGAGAGTGGACCCATCAGTCCACTAGATCACTATGGCCCAAGCAATCAAGTTGTTCCAATTAATCTAGTAGAAGTAATGTAGTAGGACATGCTTAGGCTTCTAACTAGGTTCCCTTTCCCGACCCAAGAAGCCTTTATTTAAAGATGGCTTCCTCCCCCCAAAGAAGAAAAATATGTAAAATTCTCCAGGTAGGTAGATGAGAGGAATCTTACATTTTCTGAACTATTTTCTGCCAGGCCAACATGTAGATATTGGCTAGATGTCTGTGAAGACATCACCTCCTAGGATCTAAATGCCAGTAAAAATATCTAAGATGCCAGGTGTCAGTGACTCATGCCTGTAATCCTAGCTACTCAAAAGGGTGAGATCTGAGGATCGTGGTTCAAAGCCAGCCCAGGCAGAAAGTCTGTGAGGCTTTCATCTAAACCACTCAGAAAAGGCAGGAAGTGCTCTGTGCCTCAAGTGGTAGAGTGCTAGCCTTGAGCAAAAGAAGTTCATGGACAGTGCCCAGGCCCAGAGTTCGAGTCTCAGGACTGGCAAAAATAGAATCAAATATTCTTTCTGGAATACATCTGTAAGCTATTTTGTGACACAGTTAAGAAGCTCAGAGATAAACACATTCTAGCTGTGTTCCATCTGGCATTCAGACTGCTAAAAAAAACACAGACATGTGAACCAAACCATGTGTTTCTGGCCAGCAGCCACCCTGGATGGAGAGCCACCGGGATTCCCACTCCAGGAGGGACAAGACTCAGTGATGGCAGGATGGAGGGACGTCAGAGGACCGCAAGGGCATATGCTGCTTCCTCTGTCTTTTCCTTTCCCTTCCCCATCTCTGACTACCATGTGGGGTTTCTTATTTCAGAAAGGACATTGTAGCTCCCTTCTCATACATATCTAGGATGCATGTATAATGCACTGAACACAAACTTGCTGAGCTCAGAAACTATGGTAGTGCATACAATTCAGAGCTGTTCACTGAGCATTTCTGTAGCAGCCACCATGTGCAACCTCTGCAATAGGTTCTCACCTCTTTCCTGCCCTCCCAAACAGAAGCATTCCTAACCACCTCACTGAACTTGCCTGGATTTTCAAGAAAGCATTACCATTTATACATAAAACATGATGAGTTTGTGGAAAATGCTAAGTATATGCACTAGAAAGATTGCAAAATTGAAAAATATGTGTTGCTATCAGGAACTTGAATGGTTTGTTTTTTTTTTTGTCTGTTTTTCTGTTTTTTTTGATCCGGTCATGGAGCCTGAACTCTGGGCCTGGGCACTGTCCCTCAGCTCTTCAGCTCAAGGCTAGCACTCTGCCACTTGAGCCACAGCGCCACTTCCAGCTTTTTTTCTTTTTGCTTATGTGGTATTGAGGAATCGAACCAGGGCCTCTGGCACGCAAGGCATGCACTCTACCACTAAGCCACCTTCCCAGCCCCTTGAATGGTTATTTTTATGTTTTGTTGTCAATTGCTTTGTTTTGACAGTAGTGTGTGTGTGTGTGTGTGTGTGTGTGTGTGTGTGTGTGTGTGTGTGTGTGTGTGTGTGTGTGTGTGTACACACACCAGTCCTGGGACTTGAATTCTTGAATTCAGGGCCTGAGTGCTTTCCCCAAGCTTTCTTTTCACTCAATGCTGGCACTCTACCACTTAAGTCACAGCTCCACTTCTAGCTTTTTGGTGGCTAAATTAGGAGTCTCATGAACTTTTCTGCTGGGCTGGCTTTGAACCACAATTCTCAGATCTCATCCTCCTGAATAGCTAGGATTACAGGCACAAACCACTAGCACCCAGAGAAAATTATTTTAAGGGTAAGTCAATAGCAATATTGCATTTATACATTTCTTTAATCAGAATCTTTTTTTAAAAAAGTATGAGTTCATTTCCTCCGGATTTATGTGTTATAAAGAAACAGAAGAAAACAAATCAGAGGGGTCACACAATTCCATTTTTTCACCTGGGATCCCCAATAGGACAATATTGAAAGTCTAACAAAATTAGGCCAGAAAATTCTATGTGATTCTATGTCTATGGCTTGACTTTTACACTGCTTTTCTCCTGGAAAAAAAAAAAGCAAAAAAGCAAAAAAGTCAAGTGTGTAAGCATAGAACAGCCAATCTCTGGCAAAGACACGTGTCCCCTGAACAACCTCATCCTGACACAGAGGGCACATGCCTGCTCAAGCCAAGCCTAAGCTCCAGCTGGCCTGAAAGCTGGACATCTCCCCAGGTGGCCACAAAGCTTACATTTGGATGCCAGAGTGGACCACAGCCACATGCTGAGGTAGTTCATCATCTGTCACCTCCTACAGGAAATGCCACACCCACACAGAGACTCTCTACCTTGACCTCCTGTAAAGACCCAGGACCAGGAAGAACAGTTACCTTGCAGACAGCGGCCTGGAGGATTGCATCAAAGCCCCCCTCGGGCGCATCGCGGTTCCTGGACACCCTCTGTTTCCGAACTTCCTCATTGAAGCTGTCCACTCTGTCTGTGAGAGGTAGCAGATGGCGGAACCCAAAGGATGGGACGCAGTTTGGAAATAACTTGTAACTAGCAAGAAAGAAGAAGAGAGTCACTTTCCTATACTATCTCTAGATCCTTTATTGTATTTTTTTACTTTTTGCTGGTCCCCCAGGACCAGGCCCAGAACTCGGGGACTAGACACTGTTCCTGAGGTGTTTTTTGTTTGTTTTTGTTTGTTTATTGTTTTTTTGCTCAAGACTAGCACTCTACCACTTGAATTACAGCTCCAATTCCAGCTTTTTGGTGGTTAATTGGAGATAGGAGTCTCACGGACTTTCCTGTCCAGGCTGGCTTTGAATCACAATCCTTTGATCTCAGCCTTCTGAGTAGCTAGGATTATAGACGTGAGCCACTGATGCCCAGCTTGTCTCTACATCCTTATGCAAGTATCCGGGGGAGTATGAGTGTTGTGGGGGGCACCAGAATTTACCCAGCATCCAGAATTTACCACCTGCCCTGGGACAGATAAATAACCTATATATAAAGATATATAAAGATAAATAACCTAAACATTAACCTCCAATCCTAATGGTGAGCACATTGCATATATCACAGAAATGCCTGGTGTGGATAAATGGGTATAAGGAAGTAGGCATTATAATAGACTCCTCTGGATAGAGGAAGACCTGGTGACAGCTTTGAAAGATTAGTGAGACCAATGGTATGGAGAAGTTGGCAATGTCTATGGTGGGCAATGTGAGCAGACTTGCTCTAGGAATTGAGCCTCTCCTATTAACATGACAAATGATGCCACCACCTTTTTTATGTTTCTTATGCTCACCAACAAGACATAGCAGCACATGAACCAGAATGAAAATATTCATTCTGCTTCACTAGTTTATACAGATTAACTGCCCCTTTTAATGTGTCTGTGGCAGTACTAGGGTTTGAACTCAGGGTCTGAGCTCTGTCCCTTAGCTATTTTGCTCAAGGCTGGTGCTCTACCACTTGAGCACCACTTGTAGCTTTTGCCTGGTTAACTGAAAATAAAAATCTCACAGACTGGTCTGGAAAGGTGGCTCAGTTGTAGAGCACTTGCCTTACATGCCTGAGGCCCTGGGTTCGATTCCTCAGCACCACATAAGCAAAAGAAAAAAGCCGGAAGTGGTGCTGGGGCTCAAGTGGTAGAGCGCTAGCCTTGAGCTGAAGAGCTGAGGGACAGCACTCAGGCCCAGAGTTCAGGTCCCAGGACTGGACCAAAAAAAAAAAAATCTCACAGACTTTCCTGCCTCGGCTGGCTTTGAGCCACAATCCTCAGATCTCAACTTACTAAGTAGCTGAGATTACAGGCATGAGCCACCAGAAGACAGTTAAACCATTCTTTTACATGCCATAGATATCATTTAGTAACTAAGCATTAGTAAATAGGAAATGGTATCTGAAACTTAGAAAGAAGGAAGTACTACATGTCAACAGCAGATTACTTTCAGGCCTTTTTCCTATAATATTAAACAAGTTCCTCTTTTTAGTCTTCTGTGGAGACCACAGGAGGCTCTATTCCTGGAGGAAGTTAGTTCCTAACAACAGTTCTAGGAGCTTCAGCTTGCTCAATAGCTATGAAATAGGCAGAAAGGCTTTGTTAGAAGAAAGCTTATTGTTTGGTTGATCTTTACAAAGAGTCAAGATTTAGTTTATTGGTTATCTCTATTTTCTATTTTGTCTCACTTATTTATAGATGGGTGCAGAAGGGATAGGAGGAGAAAGAAGAATATGGCAGCCAGAGAAGAGCACATGAGAGCCTGTCGCAGGAGATTAAGCAGGGCTGGTGGGTCTGCAGACAGAGGGCAAGGGATGAGGACAGGCAAGAGGAAGAGTGGCAGGAACCTGGCCCAGAGAGACAGGGTCTTCATCCCTATAAAGGATGTAATGAGAAGTAAGCAGCATCAGAGAAGCCCTGGAGAAGGAAAGCCTTTGTAATCTGCCTGTGCCTGGGAAGAGCAACAGGCTTAGCAACTGCTAGAGAAGCCACAACTAGCCCGGCCAGGGCAGGTTTGGGCAGGCTCCCTTCCTCTGTGAAAAGCCAATCTTTGCCAATCCCAGCTCCATCCACTACAGTCACAATACCACACCAGAGCCTTCACAACAAGCCACCACCTCTTCCCAGTAGACAGGCAACAGCAACTACACCTTACCTGTCTGCCTCTCCTCTGTGTCTCACTTCTCCACAGATTCACAAATACCCTATGCTTGGACACAGCAGATTCTTTCTGAATGCGTAACTCTGGGTCATAAAGAGCACAGTGGTAGAAATTACATTCTCTCTGAAAGAACAGGCTGAGGCTCCATCCACAGCGCGCGCGCGCGCGC